CATCCGTCCATCTGCCCACCTGCCCTTCCATCCATCCCCCCCACCACATGCCTTGCACACACTGGGGACACTGACCCTGAGCAAGATGGCTATGGTCTTTGCCTTCTCAGGTTGTTACATGTAATTGTCCAGCTTGAAAATATTGACAATTTGACAATATTGAAAATAGTTTACAATTTTAAGAGCTACTGTGTGGGCATCAGGACCTGTTTTCATGGGCTCAGTGCATCCACAGGTCACTGGGCTGGGGGAGGTGGGTACCTGGGCAGAAGGACAGGGCAGGAAAGGGGAGGCGACATTTCAGAGGGCACTGCTGGCTGCAGTTGGCTGTGGGCTTGGTGGGTTCTCCATTCACTCCTTAAGCAGCGCCTGGCACTTGTGTCTGTGACCCACTCTGTGCTGGAACTGAGCCACAGGGAGAGGTCAGCCCGGCCCCATCCAGGCTGGACCAGACTGAGAAGTGATTTAGTGCTGCAGCCCCTTCGGGGCTCCAGCCCAGGCAGCAAGGGTTTCTGCAGCCTGGAGAGAAGAGGAAGGAAGGGGTGCTGTGGGGCAGGGCAGGGGCTGGGTTAGAGCAGGTCGGGAAGTCTGGGTAAAGGAGCAGCAGCATCTGCAGGGGCACAGGCAAGGCCCTGTAGGTGGCGTGGAACCCTCCATGGCACTGTGCCTGGACCCAGCCTGCTCTTGGCCTTGTTCCGAGAGGTATTTCTCAGGACATCCCAGTGGCTTTCAAATGGGGAGGGACTCAGAAGGACTTTGGCTGCTGCCCCCGTGACCCTCTGTAGGAAGTGACTAACCCATAAATGAATGGAGAGAGGGCCCTTTGCTCTTAGAAGCTTTTGGACAGAATGTGGCCCTCTCCTCCACATCCTGGGGACCCCAGGAGCAGGGCCAGGGATGGGTGACCCAGTATCTAAGTGGCTTCCAGGACTGTTCGTTGCATGGACCAGCGCCAGGCGGGTGTCCTAAAGCCTGGTGTGACCAGAGAAGGCCCCATGCTGCTCTAAGAGCCACACTAGAGGGCAGATGGAGAACATCTTTCTCTCTAGTCTGCCTTCCTCATAGACTGCGGGCTGCAGGGATGGGGAGACAAGCTGCACGGGCAACTGGGGTACTCCTGCCCACTTGCACATCCTCTATGCAGAGTTCATCTGGACTCCGGGGAGCACCCTGAGCCCCACGGTGCGCACGCCCACCAAAGCACCTCGCCGCAGCCGCCCCACGGCTCCTGCACCTGTGCCCACCCCACGGCCGAACCGCCCCACCCCGCGGCCAAGCCACCCCACCGGACAGCCAACCCATCCCACCCGGAGGCCAGGAGGCCGGAGGGGCAGTGGGCGACGGCGTGGACGGCCAAGCACAGCAGGCCCAAGGCCCTCAGACGGCGCAGTGCGCTTGGTGCGGCCCGTGGGGCTGAGCCCCGGCCGCGGCCGCGTGGAGGTGTTCACGGGTGGCCGCTGGGGTACTGTGTGTGACGATGCCTGGGACAGCAAGGCCGCGGCTGTCGTGTGCCGCCAGCTGGGCTTTACCCAAGTTGTGCGTGCAGCCAAGCGCGCCGAGTTCGGCGAGGGCCGCGCACTACCCATCCTGCTGGACGACGTGCGCTGCACAGGCTCTGAGCGCACCCTGCTGCAGTGCACACATGCCGGCGTGGGCTCGCACAACTGCGGGCACGAGGAGGACGCGGGAGTTGTGTGCAGCCATCGAGACCCAGACTTGTAAGCAAAGCGCTGCTGTGCGGAGGGGCTGCCCCTCTCGAGCTCTTCCGCCCTGTGCGCCTGGCGCTGCGCTGAATCCGAAGGCAGAGGCCGGCATGGGTGCGCCTAAGAGGTGGCCACTGTGTGCTGTGCTGCTGCATCCAGGTGAGGGGCGCATGCCTCCTGGGGCCCCACCCCGCGAGCCCGCCGCAGACCCTGCCAGTGCCTGCGCTGGGGCAGGGGGGCCTCTTTCTACCTTCCAGTGACCTGGAAGCAGCAGGAGTGCAGTCTGGCCCTGGACCCCAAGGACACTGGGCAGCCACCCTTCAGGGGCAGACATGGCCCCTGGTGGAGAACAGAGACACAGTTGGCAGATTGGAAGAGGGGCCCGGCCTGCCCCGCCCTGGACAGGAGTGGAAGGTGCCCCACTGGCTGTGCAGCCAGACATGGGAACACAGTCCTGGGAGCTGGCGAGAGCAGGAGGGCACCTGGAGCTGAGAGAAGCCAGGTTACCTGGTGGCTGTGGCTGCCCACCAGAAGGCCAGGCTACCCAAGAGGAAGCCAGCGCCCAGCAGGGGACAGCTGGCTGGACAGCAGGAGGTCTCTGGGGCCACCCACCAGCAATGTCTCCTGGTTCCCTGGACCTCAATGTCATGCTGAGCCTGTGTGACAGCCCTGGTTGGGGCAGAGCTTCCAGCAGCCTTGCTAGCACCCATGGGCATGGGGGCCTCACCACCTTCTGGGCTGTGTTGGCACCCCTGGGCCACCTCTGTCACCTCCATCCCCACCCCTACTCTGGAGTCCCAGGGATGCTAATACTGCCAGCTCCACTTAGGGACCACCAGGCTCTGGGGCCAGTGAGACAGTGACACTCACCAGTGTTGTGCCGCAGATGTGACTGTCCCCCACCCCCTCCAGTCTCTTCTCTGCCCAGCTGGCCTGGGGTGCAAGGAGAGGGGTGGGGGAGAAGGTGACTTGGCCTGTAGCTCCATTTTTCTTGCTGGCAAAAGTTTTCTTGCTTGTGAGGTCTTCAGCCCAGGCCCTGAGCCAGGCCACGGGGACTCAAGGACATCAGGGTCTGGGTAGGTAGGTGAGCACACAGGTCCCGTGCAACAGGCGGTGACAGTCACCTGCAGGAGGAGGCTCTGCCTGCAAGGAGTTCTGGGTAGAACTGGTCCCAGGGCAGTGAGCCTGGTGCAGGCCTAGTACAAGAAAGCTTAGGGGTTGTCCTCGATCAAATTTGGAGGCTGGGAGTTCCTGGCTGTCAATGACTGAGCTGTTACAGAAATGAAAGGACAAAGATCAGGGCATGGGAGAAAGCTGTACAGCTGCTAGCAGGAGGCTGGTGGCAGGTGAACCGTGTCCCCTGCCCCAGGGCCAGGCATCCTCCTGCAGCACCGATCAGGGAGTGCAGTAAGTGCCCTGGGGTGACCCAAGGGAGCAGTGCAGTGCAGGGATTCTGGGCCGGCCACTAAATGAGGGCACTGATTGCTGCAGGACCCCTTGAGGTTGGGAGTGACAAAGTCCTTTTCCAAGGTGGCGTCATCGACACAGGGTGCCCTGCCAGCTGTGGGAGGGGTCAAGTGTCCCACAAACCGTTTTTTCATTGATGAACTCTACCTCCTCCCTTCTGTTTTTGGGCCCATCTCATTGAACTGGGGATCTCTGGTCATCTGCCTGGTGCATGCCTGGTTGGTGGGACCCAGCCCCTGTGGCTCATCTGTCCCCTAGCATTGCACATGGAGGTCACCATTAGCACTGTCATTGAGTGTGGACCGAGTGTGGGGCTCATCAGTCCTCAGGAATTGCAGTGGGGGAAGCAGAGGTCAATTTCCCAGCACAGGAGGAGGAAGCCAAGGCCGAGCTGGAGCTGAATCTGCTCTGGAGCATGCTTTCCACTAGCCCAGGGCTGCTGCACCAGCCCGGAGCCCCACCTAGAGCAGCTGTCAGCTTGGGGGAGCAGAGCATGACCCGTGGGCCTCCCGGCACCTGGGGCTGCTTGCATGGCATCTTTTAGGAGGCAAGGACATGCTGGAGCCAGCAGGGCCCTCAGGAGTGGGGGGTGGTTCTGGAGGCCAGGTCAGCACAGTGACCCCACTTGCTAGCCCCAGCAGCTGTCCCTAGAGAGCTCTGGGCAACAAGACAGCCTCCTGCCCTCTGGACAGTGCGCCTTCCTGGCAGGGTGCTTCCCCTCCCTTCTTCCGTTCCATGTTGCTTTTTAAAAAAATCCTGCTGCCATGTTGCTTTTTGTTGTTGTTGTTGTCACTTTGTTTTTGAGACAAAGCTGGCCTTGAACTCACTATGTAGCCCAAGGTGGGAGTGATCCTCTTGCCTCAGCCTCCTGAGTGCTGGGATTACAGGGGCGTGCCACTGTGCCCCACTTTCCCCCTATTTCCTGACTACCTTTCAGGCTCAAAGAGACTCGGCTGCAGCTTGACATTTCAGAAGGAGGGGACAGAGTCACCACCTCTACCTTACAGATGTGGAAGCAGAGGCCCAGGATGGTTGTCCCGAGCCAGGTGTCACACAGCCAGCATTCACATTTGCATCTGGGAAGCCTACTCTGGAGCCTCAGCTGCTGTCCTTGGGAACCTGAGCTCCAAGTCCCCAGGTGGAGCCTGTGGGTGACCCTGCCCCTCTCCTCCAGTTTGCTGTCGATCAGCATTTGGGTGGGGGAGGGGTCCCCACAACTGGACAGCTTAGCTGCAGGGGCCTCACGTGCAGGACTCATCCTGGCTCCAGCTATAGAAGCAACATTCTGGGGCCCCTTGTTCCTTTATCTGTGTCCCCTGGGTCGCAGCCCAGGTGGCCACCCCTTTCCTCTGACAGTAGGCAAGTTCTTTTGCCCTAGCAGCTCTGACAGCCATGAGCAGCGGGCATCCTCCAGCTGCCCAAGGGACATACTTACAGATGTGTGGCTGGGGGATTGCTGAAGGTTCAAGGCTGGAGCCCAGGTTTCAGTCCTGACCACGTGGGGCGTGACCTTGGGCCAGTCACTTGCCCTCTCAGTTGGCCCCACAGTGTTGCTGGACAGAAAATGTCAAGGCATGGCAACAGTGCTGTTCCTGTTTCAGGTGCTTCCTGGACAGCAAGCACTGCACCCGGCTGGTGGCATTCACTGTGGCAGCTGCCACCTGTGCAAGACAGAGTGGGGACAGGCGAGTCACGTGGAGAGCCAGCTTTTATGGGGCACCAGCTGCACGCCCTGAGCAGCCCAACAGCAGCATCCCTCTTTCCCAGCCCCAGGGGAATGTATTTGAGATCTGTCCTGCAGTGCGTGGGCCTCCTCCTCCACAGGGCTCCTCCACCGTCCTTCTGGGTTCCCAAGAGACTCACAGTGTTTAACTCACAGGGGCTTAACGTTTGCCACTTGAGCAGTGCAAATGTTTCCAGTAGCATGTTAAAAAGTAACAAGACACAGGTGAAATGATTTTAACTGTATTTAACCCAACATATTAAAATTTATTTTAATGATCAATATTTTAATTTTTTACTTTTCTAGGTATTAAATTTATGAAATCTGGTATTTTATACACAGACAACATCCCGACTTGGGCTGGCCGCGGTTCAAGGCCTGATGTGGGGGGCACATGTGGCCAGGCGCTGCCTTGCTGGACCGCAGGGCATGGGGTAGGCCCGGTGCCTCTGGGCAGCGCCCTCTGCTGGCGGCTGGAGGTGCTGCCTGTCCAGGACAAGAGCCTCAAGCTTGTGTCCGCCCGCTGATAGCATCTCATGGGGGAACATCAAATGAGAGGATAATAGGACAGAGTGGCTGTGACGTCGGGGACTCGCCCTTGTCGGGGACAGAGGCTGCTCTGGACAACAATGCTGGGGTGAGCCATGGTCACGCCTTCTGCTCTTGCGAATATTAACGCTGACCCCTCTGCTTCACCCTGGCTGGACAGACTCACGCTGGGCACTTACCCGGATGTTGCTCTTGCCTGCATCCTGTGGGCCTCAGCCTGTGCCTAGCTAGAGCTGTTCAGGACCTGGCCCTGCCCCTGCCCCTAGTGGCCTAGAGAGACAAAGAGCCTTCACACGGCCTGAGGAACTGGTACTAGCCGTGACCACGTCAGGCTTTCTAGCTGATCACCCTACCGCCGCTGAGATCATGCAGGAAGTCTATGCCCTGCACCTTCCTGTACATTGCTCCAAGCCCTAGGGACTCTGCGACCTCACCAGCCTGTCTCAGGCGCGCGCCTGCGGCTGCTCTCGCGCCACACGGGGGCGCCATGGCAAACCCGAGTCCCCCACGGTCCAGGTCCCTGTGCAGGATCCACAGCTGTCCCTGAGTGCTCCCCTGGAAAGAAATCGCGGACCCAAAATCCCAGAGTTGGCCTCTTCTGTCATAGCGGTGAAGAGGCAGCTTGCACCGGGGAAAGGAGTGTTAGCTGTTTCGAAGTGACCCTCTGGCCTCTCCAGGCACACGTGTCGCTTTCCTTGGCGACGGCCCTCGCTACCTAGGTTTTACCTCATCTTCCCCCCTCCGGGCCTGGGTCCACACCTTGGACCAGAGCTGCCCTGGGTTGGGGAGGCTCCGGCGGCGCCCGGGCGAGCCTTCATCCTCAATTCCAGGCCTCCCATCCTGCAGGGTCCTCGTCACCCGTCTGTGGCTCCTCTGTGTGGACAGCCCGGCAAGGGAGGAGCAGCAGGACCCCACTAGGAAAGCTTTGGGTGCCGAGGGTTCCTGGGAGAAGTCTGGGAACAGCCGGCGTGACCTGGGAATCTGGTGGCCGGGAGAGCAGAAAGGAAGGAGCGTAGTACCGCGCGCGCGGGGTTTCGCCGTTATTTAGAGGCGCCAAAGGGGCGGAGCCAACAAGCAGCATGGGATGGGGGGGGAGAATCAGAGTTGCCAGGGACAACGCGTTCTGGGCGGGGCTGGTATCAGGGCGGAGCTTGAGTCAGAGGGGGCGGGGATGGGCGGGGCCTTAGGCAGAATCAAAGTTGTGATTGGTGGATACTGCCCAATATGGGCGGGGCCGGATGGAGGGTTTGGGCGGAGCTTGTATGGGGCGGGGCAGAGAGGGGGAGGGTCCTGAGCTCAGGAGCCGGAGGCGGACACGTGGTTGGCGGGGACCGCGGCCGGGGAGGGGTCGAGCTGGCGGGGGCGGAGCCGAGCGGGCGGGGGCGGTGCTGGGTTGCGCGGGGCCTGGGGCCCAGGCTGCTCGCGGCTCTGACAGCTAAGTCGGCTCGCGGCCTCCCGCCCCCTCGGCTCCCGGCGCCGACCCCGGCCGGGCCTGACCAAGAGCCATGAGCCCCGGGCTGCTGCTGCTTGGCAGCGCCGTGCTGCTCGCCTTCGGCCTCTGCTGCACCTTCGTGCACCGCGCTCGCAGCCGCTACGAGCACATCCCCGGGCCGCCGCGGTCCAGGTGAGCGGGGGTGGGGAGGGGGCCGCGGGACGTCGGGCCGGGGTGGGGACCACGGGGACCAGGAGCGGCCTCGACTCGGCGCCCGCGTGCCCGGGGCCGGGGGCGCTCACTATTCTTAGCAGCGATTACTCACCGCCACCGCAGCTGCCTGGCTGGGCCCCGCAGCCGCGACGACAGTGACAGCCCTGTCAGGTAGGCGCTATTGTCACCCCATCGTTCAGACCGGGAAACTGAGGCGCGCGGAGGCGAAGTCACCTGTCCAAGGTCACGCGGTCGGTGAGCCCGGATTCCAACCCGGGTCTGCCTGACTCAAAAGTGGGTGCTCTTAACTTTGGGATGCAGACAGGGCCGGCTGGTCAAAGTGCAGAGTGCCCTACCAGGTCGCGTTCCGGTGTGTCTGTCTTGTGTCTGTCCTGGGGTGCCCCATGTGTCGCCTCAGCCCTTCCAGTCCGATCTTGGACTCTATCCAGCGCCCCCTCCAGGTTAGATTAGATGTGGCATTCAGGTCCTTGCGCGGAGGGCTTCTGGTCACTTTGGAGCTAGAAAACCCAGTTTCAAATTAAGTCCATCGGCAGGGCCAGCAGCCCCCCCCCCCGCCCCCCCGCTGATTTTCAGAGCTGGACCTCTAAGATTCCCCTCCTTCTGTCCTCTGCCTTCCACCGCTGCCACCTTGTCCGCATTCCCCTTTCCCAATCCTTAAACGGCAGCTTCTTCCTTTGCTCACGTTAAATTGGCCTCCCAGCCCTCCAGCCCTGAGCTCCTCTGGGGCGGCCCACCCCGAAGTCACCTTGTGCTCACCTGTTGCCTGTCTCTGCACCTGTTGCCTGTGTCTTCTGCTTTAGAGTGTGAGCCCCGGAGGGCAGGGACGCTCTGTTGGGCTCAAGGATTCCAAGTGCCTGGCATATTGCAGCTACTCAATAAATATCTGTTGAATGAATGAATAAACAACATATTAGACACGCTTTTTAAGATCTCAGTCATGAACATTCTAGAAGGTGTCCATTTCCAGCCCAAGCTAGAGGAGCTGAGTTTAGAAGCCTGGGCTCCTGCTAAATGGGGTTGGTGATGATGCCTGTGGCTGGTACTTCTGGGAGGTCTCCAGCAGGATTTCCACCCTCCCTGGGGCCTCTACTACCCTGGGGTCACCCCAAGATACCTTATCCCTTGCCTAGAAGATGGCTCAGAGTCCTCTTGCTCACCTCCTGAACATATTATATTCACTTTATAAATCCCTACTGAAGTCATTGAGTAAATTTTCCTTCACCTTAAAATGGTGATTATTTGTGCAACCTTTTGTGAAGTGTCTGTCTCCCCACGGGCCCTGTCTCTCTCTCATCCCCTGCTGTATCCTTGGCTCTAGCACAGCAGCACCTGGACCATACATGGCAGGAATCCAAAGCACCTGGACCCTCCCAGGGGCTTTTCCAGGTACCTTCTCACCCTTTCTGGTTTCAAATCTCTCACCACAGGTTGAAACTGAATGGGTTCAGTTCCTTCCCTTATGAGTTTTGTTGTTCCTAGGCCTCCTCATAAACCCAAGAGCTTCCAGGATTGCACACCTGGTCAGGTCTGTCTGAAAAAGAAACTCAGTCAGTCCCCTTTCCCTCCATCTTTCCTGAAAGTCAAGCTGTAGTTTGTAGGTTGCAACATTTACCCTTTTAAAGTGTCCAATTTTGAGGTTTTTAAAATAGAGTCACCAAGTTATACAACCATTCCTGCAAATTCCAGAAGGCTCCAGCATTCTGTGAGGAAACTCAGACCCACTGGCCACCTCTCCTCACCCCACACCCACAGCTGGAGAACTACTCTGAAACCTGTCGCCATGGGTTCCACCCCTGTCCCCTGGACATCTCACAGACTTGCAGTCCCATGTTATATGGCCGTTTGGTTCTTTCACTTAGCACAACACTTCAGGACCCATCTGTGCAGCAGCATGCGTCCATATTTTTCCCTTTTCATGGCTGGAGTTTCCCCATCTCTGCCCCGCAGATGCTGCTTGTGACCTTAGGTCTGTGGGGGTGGGTAGAGGAGAGGCAGGAGGCTGATTAGAATCACAGTTGGGCTCTTTATTCTAGGGAGGTGAACTGAACAATGAGTTTGTAAAAAGACTTTGGATTAAAACTTGGTTGGTGGTCAAATATCAAACAGCAAGGGAAAGCTCTGGAAGCTCTTCTAGCACAAACCAGCTGCTTTGGCATTAAAAGCCCGGATGCCCAAACCGTGATTAGCACCCCGAGGCTGGCAAGAAGCGGTGTAATAAGTCCCCGGCACTGGCATTTGTCCCTTGGTGTCTCAGGGGTGTTCCGCTCCCACCCCCAGCCTCCAGATTCTATAGGAAGCCCTCTCCTCCAGGATGCCCTCCCTGGTGTCCCTTCCCTCTGCTCTTATGACCTTCCACTGCACAAGGCGAAACCTTAGACTCCACATGTCTACCCCACACAAACCCCCTGCCTCTCCATTTCCCTGACACTGCTCTGACACTCCTCAGCAGTCTTCACTGTCCCAGTCCATACAATGGGTGTCAGCCTGACTGGGAAAGATCTCTCTCTCTCTCTCTCTCTGACACTGCTCTGACACTCCTCAGCAGTCTTCACTGTCCCAGTCCATACAATGGGTGTCAGCCTGACTGGGAAAGATCTCTCTCTCTCTCTCTCTCTCTCTCTCTCTCTCTCTCTCTCTCTCTCTCCCTCCCTCCCTCCCTCCCTCCCTCCCTCCCTCCCTCTCCCCCCTCCTTGTTTTGTTCCTCTTGCCCTAACTCCCAGACTGTGTTGGTTGTCCCTCCAACTCTTCAGGGATGGGGTCTGTTCAGCAAGGAGCAGGTTGGTTGCAACCTGGGGCCAAGGGCACTGCTGGCTCTGTCCTATGGGGCATCCACTGGATTCCTGTGGCATGTGCAGTGTGGCCCTTAGTCTCCTGGTGGGTGGCCCACACCTCAGCCACTATGCAGGCGCTTTCTCCTTTGGGTGGCCTGCAGCGGGCCCTGCAGATCCCCTCTGCTGAAGTTACTGCCCCACGCTTTCTCCTTCCATAGGAAACCCTGGCCCCCACAAGTTAGAGGACAGGAGTGTCGCCGAGTGTGGGCTGTCTTCTCTGCCCTCCCTCCCTGAACTAGCCTCCGACTGCCATGTCCAGTTTCTTTCCCGGGCCTGTCCAGTGGGCTTCCGTCCCTTCCCTGTGCGCCTAGTGCTGAGGGACAAGTCCTACCCAGCCTTATCTGCTTATTTCTAGCAAGCGCCCCTGTCTTCTCACTAGCGCCCCCTGCAGGAACAGGAAGGAATGGTTCTCAGTTCCCTTTCCTGCCTGGCACGGAGTCCCTGCCTCCCCCCACCCCTCCGCTTTCCTTCCCAGGGGGCTGTGGACCCCAAGAGTCAAGGTGGAGGCTCTGGAGAGGCAGGCAGGGTCCAGGTTGGCTCCAATGCTCAAATCTGAGCTTCGGGGCGTGACGCTGAGCCAGCTAGCTAATTCTGTGTGCCGGAGCCAGGATTCATAGCAGCAGGCAGCCTCCCGCCTTCTCTGCAGTCCTCTGCTCTTCCCTCCACCCCTGCTCAGTTTTTCTCTCTTGAACCCGGCACTCAACGGGCTGGAGGCCCGAGTGAAGCTGCTCTGCTCCAGTGACCACCATGTGGCTGAACCCAACTTCCGGCCTCGCCTCCTTGTCCCAGTGGCAGAGCGGGTTCCCTGTCTTGCTCTCTCCTTGGCTTCCTTCTCGAGCAGCCCCTGTGCTTCCGTCCCCTCCGCTGTCCCTTTGTGCCTGACCTGTCCTTGGTGGCCCATGCTGTCTTTTCTGTGTGCTACAAGTCCCAGCCAGTTTACTGCTAGCTTTTTGCACCTGCCCTCATCTTCTCACCAGTGTCCTTTGCAGGAACCAGAAGGAACGGTTTGTATCTCTCTATTGAATTTCACCCCTGGCCAAGGCCACCTGTCCCCACTGGACTAGCACTCACTGCCTCCTGTGCCCCAGACTTCCTGTCTGCTCCCTGTTGCTGTAAAGGGTTAAGTGGACACCACAGACCTACAGGGTCCAAACCCAAGCTCCTGGTTTCACCTACTCACGCCTGGTTCTTCCTCCCAAAGCCAATCGTGAGACAGAAACAAGGTGCAAGAAGTGAAGGGGTGCACAGGGTGGGAGGGAATAGAAAAGGAGAGAAGAAAGCCAGAAGAGGAAGGTATCTCTGGGGAAGCCGAGGCACAGTTGTCCTAGCAGCCCTGGGGGCCAGCAGAGCTGAGCTACCCCAGCCCGGGTGGGGTACTGGCTGCATAGGGGTGCGTCTGTCTTCCAGGACTTCCAGCCTGTGCTCCCTTTGAGCAGAGCCAGAACCTGGGGCATTGGCCAGTGCCACAACACCCTCTGCCCAGTGAACAACTCTTGGGTCATTGCCATGCCAGGACCCAGGCCCCCTTCATCCTTGACACATCTTGTGCCCCTCACCCAAGGCAGCAGCTCTTCCCTTCCCTGCTGTGCTAACTTCCCAGAGGTCTGGACAGGAGCTCCTGTGCCCTGCATGACCCTACACCCAGTCTCGGTGCCCACGTGGGCTGCTCGCTGCCCAGGCACACGCTGCCTCAGGGCCTTTGCACCTGCAGCCCCCAGAGCCCTCCTGCAGGCAAGTCTTGCTCCTACATAGGGCCCTTCTTGGAAGGGCGCCCCTGCCTGTGTGGAGTGGTCACCCCCACACCTCCCGCCAGCACTCTATGCGTTTTTCTCTCTGGCATTTTATTTATTCACTCGCTTGCTTTTCTACTCTCTACCTCTCCTGGGGAGACTCTGATTGCTGTGACCCAGAAAGCTCGAGTTGCAATTCTGTTGTCAGCATTCAGGACGCTGTGCGGAGCAGGGCTGGAATAACACCTTACAGGAGACAGGAAGTGGCGCGCACCTTGAAATGCCCTTCACGGCACCCCCAACAGGCCGGGTGCAGGGCATGGGATCACAACCTGCTTGCATAAAGAGTCCCCCTGTGAGATTTCACAGCCCTTGGTACAAGGCGCACACTTGGGGGCAGGTGACCTGGCTTCGCGGCCTGCCCCACCTCAAATTGGGTTCATTATTTGTAAGTGAAAAGGTGACCCAGGCTAAGAGGAGGCCTCTGGCCTGGGCCCCGACCCCCTGTGTGCCTTGGAGGCCCAGGAGCTCTGCACAATGTCACTGTCCCTCCTGTGTCTACTTGGACCGCTGGCCGAGTGGCCCAGGAGAAGCAGAAGCATCTGCTCTCTGATGAGGGCTTCGGTGCCAGGCAGACCCAGGTTTTGAGTCCAATCTGCGTTGCCACCGGTGGCCCCAGGCCAGGGCCAGTTCTTACCTGTGCCTCAGTCCTCCGTCTGCTGTGGGAATGTGGGGGCGGGGCGCGCTCTAACGCAGGCTATGGCGGGCCTCAAGTTTCTTGTTTCTTCTAGTTTCTTTCTAGGACACCTTCCCTACTTTTGGAAAAAGGATGAGGTTGGTGGTCGAGTGCTCCAAGATATGTTTTTGGAGTGGTAGGTTCCAACTTGTCACCTGCACCCTCGTCCTTCCCCTTGGGGGAAGCTCACCCACCCAGTCCAGCCCTTCCCTGACCCTGTCATATCCCAGCCTGTGGTCCCTACCGGTGTGGAGGGACATGGGGCAGGGTGGAAGCCACCGCCTGCTACTCACTGACCAAGGGACTTATCGCAGCCATCAGAAGCCCTCAGAGCCTCAGTTTCCTCATCTGTAAACTGGGTGAGGAGGTGTTACTAAAGTGTGGTCATTGTTGGGGGTGGCAGTTTATGCTTTTTCAACACAGTTCCAAGGACAATATTGTTTAATCACATGGATACTCTTAAGGGAATGAAAGGACAGGGGTCTCAACCCTGTCTCATGGATGTGGAAACTGAGGCCGGGTGGAGCATGTGAGTCAGCTTTGTCCTGAGGCCTGCTGGGACCTTGTCCTAGCCAGGGTCCTCCTGTGGCCCACACTGAGGACCCACTGGCCAGGCTGATGGCACCCACCTCTTGGCTGATTGACACCCCCTTTGGGTCATTTTGGTTTGCAGGGCTAAGAAATATGGACCTGTGGTGCGGGTCAACGTCTTCCACAAAACCTCAGTCATTGTTACGAGCCCCGAATCAGTCAAGGTAGGAAGCTGAGCAGTTTCCCTGGCGGGGCCCCTCCTTTCCCAGGGGTAATGACAGGAAGTGGCCTGGGACTGTGAGGAATGTTCCAGAAAAGGTGCACTTGAGCCCCCCCCCCCAGGGATCTGAAAGGGGTGGGTGGCATTTCTCTGGCCTGCAAGCATTGTCATTTGGGGTGGGGTGGGGTTGGGCTTTGCTGTCCCTGCTTGGGTGGAGAGTGTGGCTCACCAGCCGCGTAGCTCACCCACTTTGGGCTTGGCCACTCTATCTGTGAGATGGAAAGGACCCTCTTGCTGAGATTCTAAGAATTAAATATGAATGGGTTCATCACAAAGTGTCTTTTCTCGGAGACAGGGTCTTGCTATGTAGTTTGGGCTGGCTCTGAACTCACTGTACAGCCCAGGCTGTCCTTGAATTCACAGTGCTCCTCCTGCCTCAGCCCTCAGAGTGCTGGGATCACAGATGTGCTCCACCATGCCTGGCAGGAGCTCTTGTTAGTCCCCATTTAGAGCTAAGGAAGCCAGAAGGTGTGCCACCCAGGGGCTGAGAAGGGGCACCTTTCGCTGGCTTTGCAGTCTAATCCAGGCTCTGCTACCAACTGACTGTGGGACCTGGGATGAGTTTGTCATGGCTCTGGGCTTTCTCGTCTGTAAGACAGAGGCCAGGCCATCTCACATGGGATGGGCATGAAGTGATGTGCGTGAGCCCTACAGCCCATGCCTGGCACACGGCGGCTGCTCTATGGAATGTGTCATTACTGTCCCAGGGGACACAGAGTGGGTGGCTGTGATAGCACTAAAAGGGATCAAATACGACTCAGGGCAGGGGCAGGGGGCTTGTTCTTGTCCTTGTCACTGGCTTTGCAGTCCTGGGGGTGGATCTGCAGCCTCCACTACAGAGCTCACCCCTGCCGCAGACGCAGCGCCCAGCACACACCAGGACAGGGCCCGAATATTTTGTTTGTTTTTTGAGGGGTTTTTTTGTTGTTGTTCGAACTCAGGACCTTGAGCTTGCCAGGCAGGTGCTTATGCCGCTGAGCTATCTCCCTGCCACCGAACATTTTGGTGTCACATTTCTTAACAGAAGGTCACGAGTGATTTCCTAAGAAAGTTCAGCTTCACAGACATGATTTCCGAGCTTTGACGGCAGTCGGCCAAGCCTCATGCTCGGTGGCTTCGGGGCCACTTCATGAGAAAGATCTGTGTTCATGTGGTGGTCACGTTGCAAGTTGAGTTTAGAGAAGTCTTGCATTTGATAGCATCTTTTACATCCAGCTGGGATCACTTGGCTGATAGATTGTTAAGGGCTTTTTCCCTTGTAATGCCTTGTCAGGTGTTAATATTGTTTTGGTTTTGGAGATAAGACCTTACTATGTAATCCAAGCTGGCTTTGAACTCACGGCCATCCTCCTACCAGAGCCGTGGACACACCATTCCTACTTACTGTCCGTTGCACATGGTGCAGTTTGGAGTTCTGGGAGGTGGCTCTCACTTAGCATCTCCAGGTCACCATGGCTGGCCAACAGCTTTATTCTAGGAGAGTCCCTCTTTGTCCTTGTCAGATTCTTCGCCCCGGAGAATCTCTCCTTTAATACAGCCGCCCCAGCTTCATGACTTTACTTCTAGCCTTGTTGTGTTTCTCTTTCTAAGGTAGGTTTCTTGTAGGTAGCATGCAGTTGGGTCTTGCTGCTTTCAGCAGTGTGACAGTCTCTGTCTTTAAACAGGATGCTTGGGCGATCATTTACATTTAATGTGGTTATTTTTATAGGTATGTTTAAATCCACAATAAGCCTCCCCAATTTATGAAATTTGAGCGTGAACTTTCACAGGTGTATTGCATAAGACTTATTTTGTTGGCTTACAAATGAATCCCACTTATGAACAATTTTGAGAACTCTTAAGTTAGGGACTTACTGTGTCATGTCCTGTTTTCCTTCCTTCCTTCCTTCCTTCCTTCCTTCCTTCCTTCCTTCCTTCCTTCCTTCCTTTTTTCCTTCCTTTTTCTCTTTCTCTCCCTTTTCTACCTTTCTCATTTATTTTTATTTTTAATTTTTTTTGTATTTAGTACAGGGTCTACAGGGTCAACAGGGTATCACTATGTAGATCGGACTCATAGTGATCCACCCGTTTACAGCTTCTCAAGCGCTGGGATTACAGATGCGTGCCACCATGCCAAGTCTCAATAGCTATCTCAGTGCACCCTGGGGGTGGGGCCAGCACAGCAGGCCCAGGGATCGAACCCCTGGCCCCTGCATCTGCCTAAGCAAGTGCTTTAATCCACTGAGCTATTTGGCCGGCCCTCTATCTTTCTTTTTTCCTTTCCTTCCCTCCCTCCTTTCCTCCCTCCCTTCCTTCTGTCCTCCTTCTCCCTCCCTTGTCCTAGGGTCTATAATATCAACTTCAATCTACTAACAACACATGGGAAATACCATCCCATTTTTTTCTACTCTTATGAGTTCCTTTTTATCACTATTTTCAGTTGAATTATGTTCTGTCTTTTTTTATTTTTACGTATTTAGCTCAGGGTCTACAGGGTCTCACTACATATCAGACTCCTAATGCTCCTCCTGTTTTCAGCTTCCCAAGCGCTGGGAAGGTGTGTACCAGCACACAACTTCCCAGCTATGTGGCTGGCCCATGTTTTGCCTTGAGGTGCTTTGCTTTATGCTAATTCTATTTGGGATTCTTTGAGCTTCTTGGGTGTGTGGGTTCCTTGGACACATTTATAACATTTGTACAAGATATCTGAAAAATCATATGCCATGTCTATCACTTGTATTATTTCCAAGTCTAATTATAGGTCAGATTTTCCTGTTTGGCCTATCTAGTGTTTTGTTGTTGTTGGATCCTGGGCATTGGGAAATTTATACTGTTGAACAGTAGACTCTGTTTAAAGTACTGGGTGTGCCCTTGAGCATCTGTTGTACCAGCTACTTGGCAGATGAGGTGGGAGGTCACCGGCATCCAGGAGCACAAGGCCAGCCTGGGCTATGAGGTGAGGACCCCATCTCAAAGGTTCAAAAAAGATGATGTTGTTGTATTTGTTTCTAAGAGCGTTGGCCTTCATTTTGGGGGTGGTCAGTGAGGTCCTTTCCAGGTGTGCTTTCAGGTGTCTGCCGACTGAGTTCAGAGGAGAGACTTGACCTCAGCACAAGTGTGTCCCCTCCGGGGAGTGGCCCTCTGCTGAAGCTTTGTACCTGGAGTTTGTCTCCTCTGCCCCATGGGGACTTGGGCAGTTCTGGCCCTGCGAGACCCAAGGAGTGTGCAGCCCTTGTGGCCCAGTGATCCTCTCTTGCCCCAGGAGTCCTGCTCCTGTCCCATGGTGTCACCGCTGTGTGTCCACTGGGTGCTTGTCCCATGCCCCAGGGCCTGGCCAGTCTCTGCACAGCCTCTCGGTTCTTGCCTTCCTGGACTTGGGTCTCTGTGGCCAGCTCCCTGCCTTGCTGTACCATATCTGGGTCTCTCTGTTTGAGACACTGTCCTGAATTGCCTCTGGGCAGAAAACTGGGCTAGGCCTAGGTCACACCTCATGCCTTCCTTTCTTTCTCCTCCTTTTGGTTCACAGCTCTGCGCTGCTTGTCTGAAAATGGTGTCTGAAAGCAGACATTCTGTTCCTTTCTGCCCCATTTTTCTGCTGGGGTGGCAGGAGGAGAGACCTCAGCCAGGCCTGCCTTGGGGTAGCAGAGAGCTGTCGGTAGGGTGACCAGAGGAAAGGGCAAGAGCAGGTGGTTCCTGGGTGTCTTGCACCCCAAAGCTCAGCATAGTGGGCCCGGGTCCCAGCTGCTGGGCAGCAGGCTTTGGGGACACAGTTCCTTCTTCAGCTGGGTGGGCTGCATGGAGCTCAGTCTGCCCAGTACATGGAGGTGGCATTCGCCGCTGTGCATTCTCCAGGTGCCCGACTGATGGCACAGCTTGGTGGTAGACTAGTGTTTGGGAGCAGCCTGGCTGTGGCTACCTCGATTTCCTCTCAGCTGAAACATCAGAGTTAGATCCAGGAGCAGAGCTCACAGAATCCAGCAGCCCTGGGTCATGGCACAGGAGTCCCCGACTGCCACCCTGGGCCACCAGGACCCGGCTCAGCGTCCCATGGGTCCTGCGTCCCTCAACCCGGGACACGGGCTTCTTTCTCCTCCCCAGCTCCAAATCCTGTGTCTGCACAATGAGGCCAGCTTGGGGCCAGTTTGGAACCCTTTTCCTCTGCTTGCATAATGGCAGGTCACATGCTTTAGGGCTGTCTGGGCACCGAGTGAGCTGCGTACAAGGTGCGCATTGGCACCTGGCGTTTATTGAGCACCTGCTGTGTGCCAGGCTTTTCAGGAGGAATGAATTTACTGCTCACAACAGCCTAAGTAGGCAGACACTCTTGAAACCTCTGTCCCATCAGGTCAGGATACTGAGGGGCGGGGAGGTGTCCAACTCAGCAGGGAGCAGAGTTAGCAAGTGGGGAGCAGGGGTGCTGAACCCCTGGAGTCTCTCTCGACCTCCACAGCTGGCCAGGGCTCATGATGCTGGGCCCATGCCCATCATTCCCACTTCCCTGGCAGCACTGTGTGGCCAGAGACAAATCACCTGGCCACTTCTCCTTGTCCCCACGGGTTGCTGGACCTGATGCCAGGGTCACGTGAGACATGCAGCAGCTCCCAGGCGCCTTTCGCAGGAGCCCCGCGTGGCTCTTGTGGGCCCCAAGCTCACGTTGTTTTTTTTTTGGGGGGATGTCTAGAAGTTCCTGATGTCAACCAAGTATAACAAGGACTCCAAGATGTACCGTGCCCTCCAGACCGTGTTCGGAGAGAGGTGAGGAGCAGGATGGCTCTGGGAGCGGGTGGGGGCAGGCATGGGACAGACGACCCACACCCTGCTGTTGTCCTTGTCACTTCCCTGCTCCCCACCCCCTGAGGGGCAGCGGGGTGGGGGCTGCCGAGTCTGAAGCACAGATCCCCACTCTTCTTCACTCACTGTTAATAGATGTAGAACGCTGTGTGCACCCCTGTGCGTGATTTATTTACCTGTGCATGGCACAATTGTCACGAGTGACAGACACTCTCCGTGTCTTCCATGTCAGTGTGTCTGACCCGGGACAGTCAGCACATTTGCAGTCAGGTTCCGGGACCCGCCACCCCGGAGCTGAGCCCCGCAGGACGCCTGCTCTCACCCCCTTCCTCACATGACTTCCCTGTCTCCTGCAGGCTTTTCGGCCAGGGCTTGGTGTCCGAATGCGACTATGAGCGGTGGCACAAGCAGCGCAAAGTCATGGACCTGGCTTTCAGCCGGAGGTGAGCTCGTGGGCCTGGCCGGCCGCTGTGGTGGGGCGTGGCCTACGGGGACCTGGCTCAGCCCAGCGCAGCTGAGAGCAGACGGGAGCAGAGGGCTCTGTGCACCCGGAGCACCGGGTCAGCGGCCGCTGGCTGGAGGCCCCGGGCTCTCGGTCCCTGAGAATTGTGCCGCACTGGGCTGCATTCCCAGCCCTTTTTTAAATTTTAAAATTTGAACCAGGGCCTAAGTCTCTCTGTTTGCGCAAACTGGACCGGAACCTGTGATCCTCCTGCCTCAGCTTCCCGGAGTGCTGGGGCCATGGGTGTGCGCCACCGCTCCGGGTCATTAACTGTTTTATTCCAACAGAATTCACATTTCAAGTAACCCAGCCACTTGGACTGGACGATCCAGTGGCTTTCAGTTGTTTACCTGTGAACTTGGGGAGCCACCACCCCCAAATTTGAGGGCATTTTCATTATTCCCAAACCAGTTCCTCTCCAGTGCCTCACCCCCTCTCCCCCCCCAGGTGGCCAAGGGGGGGCATTTACTTTCTGTCCCTGGCATTCTTGTGCTTGGCATTTCCTACAAGTGAAGTCCTGCAGTATGTGGCCTTTCCGGGCAGGTTTCTTTCACTTAAAATAATCCTTTCATAACTCACTTCCTTCATGGCCCATCCAAATCAGTGTTGTTCCTTTTTATTGCTGAATAATATTCCATTGTGTGGACACTGCACATCCGTTTTTTATTCTTCCGTTAATGATCACTGGGGTCATCTCTACTTTTTGGCTGTTATAAATGGGGCTGCTGTAAACATTTCTACGTGGGTGCTTTTTCCATTTCTTTGGGCTACATACCTGTATAATAGGACAGCTCTGCTTAATAGTTTAAGCAGAGCTTAAACTTTTACTTTAATAAAATTTCAAATTTATAGAAAATTTGCCATATTAGTTTAAGGGACTTCTTATATCTTTTATTTAGATTCCACTTATAGTTTACTGGTAAAATCATTACCTGCTTTATAATTTCTTTTTTATGCATGTACATAAATACCTTTACCTCTTCCTCTGATTTGTATGTCTATTTACATAGTTTCATATAAATTTGTTTGAGAATAAGCTAAGAGGCATCATGGCTCCACCGCCAGGTACTGCGTGTGCCTTTCCTGCGGGCACTACTACATGACTGCAATTTCCTCCTAATCAGTATGGGGAGAAAAATATCAACCTAAAACTGACACCTAACCCACTTTTCAGGGTCATCTTTTGCACACACGTAGCTACTTTTCCTTGTCCAAGGTTGAGGTGGGGACATCATGAGTTCCACTCACTCCCTTGCCCTTTAACCTCTTCCTCCCAGGACAGTTCGCCTTTTGTCTTCACTCGTTTGGCTTTTTGAGACAGAGGCTCCTAAGTAGTGCAGAGTGGTCTTGAGCTTGTGGCAGTGCTCCTGCCTCCGCCCCTGAGAGCTGAGGTCACAGGCATGAGCTGCCACGCCCCGTGCCGGCCCCTTCTTGGTATTGCGTTCAGCGCTCAGTGGCCAGCTGGCCCACACTGTGATTTCTATATTGTCCTGACATAATGCGGGTTGCCTTGTTGTTGGCTAAGACAACAATTTCGATCCCCTGAATTATGAAGGAGAGGACAGATCCTCTGTTGCTTATGGCGTGACTGCCTCGCCTTAGAGAAATATCCAAATGCTGTATCAGCCTGTGGATGTGTGTATGGGGGTAAAAAGCAGATCTGATAGCTTAAAATTCTATTGCAATTTTTTCCCACAAACTACTCAAGCCTAATTTCGTGCAGCTTCCGAATTTTAGAAGATTTTTACTTAATTAAATGTTACTGTGAAGAATTATCATTTTGTGCAGTTTTATAATGTCACGGATGCACCATAGGCCAAGCTTTGCTAATATGTGAGACTTGGGTTTGAGCAGGCCCTTCTCATCAAACTCTCCTAGCTCTTATCTTTTTATTTTGAGACAGTGTCTCACTAAGTTGCTCAGGCTGGGCTCCAACTTGTGACTTTCCTGCTTCAAGGCCCCACAGTGCTGGGATCACAGGTGTGCGCTACCATCCCTGGATAACACAGTCATTAAAGTGATGGTTGGTAGTAAATTCAGTCACTGTCCAATGGGAGGCTCCTACGCCCGGCTACACTTCCAGAATGAATGGCATTGGACGGTCTGTCAGTCAGAGCAAAGCTTGTCAAAGCTCCAAACCACAGCCCCTTTTTCCATGCTTGTTAGATTTCTGCCTGTCAACTCCCTACTCAATCAAGGGGCTCGAGCTTTTAGTAATTTATTTTGTTTTTATATTTAATAGTTTACATTTAGCTGCTATGGGAATACTACACGATTTCTCTTAAATTTGGGGATTGTAAGGGACGCCTCTTAGTATAACCACTTTTACTGCTTTTCCTGATATTTATTTATTTTTTTTTTTAATTTTTTTTTTATTTTTATTTATTTGAGAGAGAGAGAGAGAGAG